ATCCTAAGTATTATGAATCTTAACTTAGGGACCTTCTAAATCAGAGGTCATTAGAACTTACACATTTAATTTATCATTAATTTATCATTTCTACTAACTTCACAGTCAGTAGAAAACAGAAACCAAGTAGCCAAATAGAACAATTCTGTAATGTTTGAGACTATTTAGTTCATTGTATAAATTAAAGAAAAAAAGCCCCTCATGAGGCTGAGGCTGCACGAGGGTCTGTCTCATAAGAGTTCTATATCATTTTGTGGTAACTCATTTTCCAAGCATCAAAATGTGTAGAAAGTAAAGGGCTTCAAAATATGGGCTGTCAGTAGTGCAGTACATTTTGAATATGATCTCATCTCAGATGTCTGCACAGATGTACCAAGTAGCAATCATGGAGAGCCAGCTTAAAACCTATTTCATTTGAAACCTTTTCTATTAAATGTTGTACATTAAGAGGAATAACATCATTTTCCATGTCACCAAAACCTCACAGTCAGTAGAAAATGGAATCAAACAGCCAAATAGAACAATTCTGTAATGTTTAAGAATTCAGTACCTTCCTTGATTTCATTTCTTAGTTGAGGTGCCCAAGCAGGCAGCAGCCTGTGTGTCACTTAGAGCCTCTGTCATTTCCTGTTCCAATTCATTAAACCCCAGGCTTTCCTCAGAAACACACAGCCCGCATGGAGATTCTTCTGCCAGTCAAAAAAGATCAATTCAAAGGTTGCAGAAACTGATTTGCAACTCTGAGTGGGCATGAAGGCCATAATAATGTGCTACCTACACATGGACTTCTATTTTGTAGGCTGAGAGTGTGTGGGCAGAAGCATCAGGAGCTTATTTCAGATTGACTGGCTTCTCTTTGGCTGCCAGAAGATGGATCAAGTTCAGAAACTAAGCCAAGTTGGCAACCCTTTATCTTTGCCTTGGTCTCTAAAAAAATACCTGACTTAAGTTAAGCCATAGAGTATTCACATATAGAGGCTTGATTCACAACTTCAGTTCTCAAAATCACTCTGCCTCTTTTCCTCTCAGTGATATTTAAAATTCTAGGATTCTAAAGTCACATTCATAAGCACATTTATAAACACCACTGATTTAAAAAAAAAAAATCACAGGGCTACTGCATACCCCAGTGGAGACCAGGAAAAAATAATACCCTAAGGGAGAAATGAGGGGGCTTGAAATAACACAGCTGGCACTGTCCTCTTAACCATGAGTGAAGCACTTGGAATTGCTAAGGCAACATTTAGTTTTCAGAATCTTGTTGCTGCCAGGAATGGAAAGAAAGGATGTTACATCTTTTCTCTCCTAGCTCTGAAGTGGTGGGCAAAATGTCTGCTTTTACTGGTTTGAAGTAATGTAACCACTGCCAAAGAATGAGCAAAGCAAATTATACACACATGCTCTCCTCCGGAAATGCCATCTCTTCTGTGAAGCTGTCTTGATTCCCTATTCAGAATGCATAGCTTCCTTCTCTACTCTCTATCATATAATTTATACCCCCATTAATATTATTTTCTATGAGAGTAATGTGTTTATAGGTGTCCTTCTTACTAAACTGTAAACTTCCAAGCTCAGGGACCAAGTCCTTATCTCTCTGGTCCCCACAATGCCAAGCAGAGTGCTTTATAAATGGTAGGTACAAACTAAATGTTTGATGAATGAATAAAATATGTTGGTGTCAGCTTTATGGTGGCTGGAATTTAAGATGATTTTAAGAGTTCTAATAAAACCTGAAATCACATAGGATAAAGAAAACACTTTTCTACCTAGTTACTCCCACCCCGTTGAGGAGGGAGATGCGTCTAGAGATGTCCTCCTGGGAATACATTTAATACTCAAGATGTCTATTTTGATAGCCATCAAGTAAACTGCCTTTCGGAGCTTTCCAAGGTTAAACTGAACTTCATGGGGAAAGTGTGGATAAAATAAAGGTTCCTGTGGCCAGGATTCTCACCTGGCCCTGGATGGCTGGCTCACTACACACGTGTGGGTGATATGTTGCTATTGACTCTATATAAAGAGCCCTGCCCAGTGCTCTGGGCGACACGGTGGCACGGCTGCAGGAGAGCAGAGCAGAGGCTGGAGTGATGGCAGCACTGAGGACAGAGACTGGGACGGCTGCGGGGGTAGAGAGGCCCGGAGGCAGAGACACTAGTGCTTGACCTACGGCCAGGAGAACAAGCCGGGTAATAAACCCTTTCACCCCAAGAACATTCTACAGTCACTTCTTTGGTCACATTGAATCCACAGCGAACATGCCTGGGGCTGATACCCATTGGCAAGACAGAAAGTTTCAATGAGCCAGACAATAGGTATCTTTATTTTTTGTGCTATAGCATGCTGTCAGCTGCCTCAGAAAAACACTCCCAAATTCCAAAAGCTGTGAGCATGACTCCACAGACTCTGTAACCAGGTGCTGCCTGTAAAAAACGATCAAGAGGAAGGAACCCTGAATTTCTTTTAACTGAGAAGGAAAAATGGTCTTTAGTTCTCAAAAAACAAGGGCCTAACTAGACTGATTAATGAGAGTGACAACTTTTTCAGATACACAGAATAAAAGGAAACATGTGTCTAGAGAGAGACAGGGTAAGTTTAGGCAATGAAAGTCATCACAAGTAAGATTCCCCCCTCTATTTTCATCTATTTCATATGTTATTTTACTAGTGGATACAGGGTTTGGTAAAGCTTTTAACAATTCATTATTGAAAGTTTTAAAACAATGATCAATTTTTCTCACAAATTGCATTTCTTTCCTTCCAAAACAAACAAGATACTTTCCCCTGACAGGAACAATTTCCCATCTCTTATCACTGAAAGGTGCAAATAAGTATAACACTTACGAGTTCCTTAAACCGTTAGCCCCAGTGTCTGGATTTAATCAAAGATGAAGAGTATAAACTCATAAGCTTTTAGTTGACAAGAAATATGTCTTTGGCTTGGGATTTTTGTGTTTGAGTTGTAAATCAGACCATGGAAAAGTAATAAAAAACCAGACTGGCTGGAGATAAGAAAAAGCCTTACTGATGGGTGTGAGGCCATACGTTGTACTTGTGAGTTGGTGTCTTAACAAGCTTGGGGACCTCAAGCAAATTACTTAAACTCTCATTTGTAAAGAGACGAGACTTTGGTATTTTCTAAAGTAGCACTATCAGTTTTTACTTGTCTAATATTGTTCCTTAAATCATTGATTAATTTATTTAATTACAATAACTTCAGTGAACATAGTAAAGGACAGTTCCTACTCTCAAGGAGTGGACAAGTCAGTGGGAAAAGTGAAGGCTTTTCCCATAGTTCTTAGACACTCACTCATCCATTCAAGCTCTAAACAAAGGTCATAAGGAGCCCAGAAGGGAATGAGGATGGAAAGGAGTAGGAGAAACTCCATGGAAGCTCTTAGGAGGAAGAAAGGGTAATTTATTATTTCAGTCCATCAATGTCTTATGAGTGATCACTGTTTGCTAGGCACCGTGCTGAGCACAGGGGATGCTGGGGTAACCCCCACAGACCCGGCCTCTAACGAAGCTTACTTGCATTTCTGGGTGGTGAAAAAAGAAAAACAGGTTAACACATAAAGGAAACCCAGATTGTGGTAAGTTCTATGAAGGAAAGAGAGTAATAACGAGAGAAAATAACTGTGGTTGGGGTGGGGGGTGTTGGGGAGGCAGAGGGGAAGGCACCTCGGGGCGATGGGGGCTGACGGAGCTGGGACCTGAGGGCAGATGAGAACGAGGTCGCCCAGCAGAGGGAAGCCAGCAAACGCCCAGGTTGGAAAGGGCTGCAGCAGAGACATCACCTGCGGTGGGAGGTCAGAGCAGTTACCTCCGGAAAGTGTAGATGAAAGCAGATTGGTTCTCAACCACGTGGGAATTTGCCCCTCGGGGAACAGTTGACATGTCTGGAGCTACTGCTGAGGGTGAGAAATCCTGCACTGAAGTAGTATTTCAGCCCAAATTTTGGTTTTAGTCATTGTTATAAACCACGTTTTTATCGACTTGAGCCTTTTTTTCCTTCACTGAAGAAACAAAGTAAGAACAGGGCCCGCTGCGTCATGTTCTCCTGGAAAATCCCATCGCAGGGACTCCGCAAAGCTTTGCAGAGTTCCGCAGGGTACTGACCGTGTGGCAAGGGATCTGGGGAGCCCCACACCTAACTGCTCCCCAGGGCCACGTCTGCAGAAGACACCGGGCTGAGGGGCACTGTAAGGGAACAGAGGCATACTTCGTTTGCATAATTACAAATCAACGTTTAAGATAATACGAAGTTGGGTCCACGCGTAGGGAGGAAGTGGAGATGCTCTCAAAGGCGGAAACCTCTGTCTTTCGTAAAACACCCCCTTCCGCGTTGATCCTCCAGAGGCTCGAGCTTCATCCGCCCCGCGCCGGCCTCCGGCCTCTCTGGGACCCCCTGGCCCCCGGGCCTCGGCCCTCATTCACTCCAGGGGCCTTGGGGCTCTGGCCTGGCCCCGCCCGTGTCGACCCGAGGCCCCCGAGGTCCGCGAGCTGCTCCCGGCCGCAGCCCCAACTGGGAGCAGGGGCCTCCTCTGAAAGCCGCGCCGGGGTTGCCCTCAAAGTACTAGCTGCCCGGAGTGTCGGCCCCGAGCGGGAGGCTCCGTCGGCGTCAGGGTGCAGCCCCGCGGCCCTCTGCCCGCGACGGCGCCGCCGGTGGCCCAGGCCCCAGGGCGAGGCGCAAACCCTGAGGAGGGCGGGAAACCCCGCAGCCGAGCCGCGACGCGCGCGCCCCGAAGCCGCGGGGGCGGGGCGGGCCGCTCCCCTGTTCTGCATATTCATGAGGCCGGGCGCGCCCACGCGAGCCGCGGCGAGGGGAAGCCTTCTTTCCGAGGGAGCCTCGCGCCCCGCCCAGGAGGCCCTCGCGGACTCGGGCGTGGGCGGGGCCGGCGAGGCGGGGTCGCGCCGGAGACAGCCGTTGAGTCCCTGGGGGGAGGCGGGGACCCGCCGAGGTGAGGGCGGGGCGGGCGCGGGGGTTCCACAGAAAAACGGCCCTCCGGCGCCGTCAGCCCTCCAGCCGTATGTTAGTTTTTTTGCTCTTCTTCTCTCGACTTGAGGCTTTACGTTTGATTTAAATTATTTCGCAGAGGCTGAAGGACTTTGAGGAGAAGCGGCGAGGCCAGAGCTCAGGAGAAAGAGGGGAGCTTCTAGGTAACATTTCTCCTCACGCCGGACGACGACGCATTTCACACCGACCGGGGGAAGCGCGGAGGGCAGGGAGCAGGGAGCAGCCCGCGCCCCCGCGGTCGGGGCCGCGTTTGAATTCAGGAGTTGGTGCGGAAGGACTCCGCCTGGAAGGGGAGGCCGCGGCGGCTGGCCGCCTGCCCCCGGCTGGGCCGGGGACCTCTGCTGCGGGGAGCCTGCTGCGGCTCTCGGGGGTGCCCGTGGCCCGGGGAGGTCATCTCCAGCCCCTGGGGTGTTGCGCCGGCGTCAGTGCCTGGCACGCCCCCAGAGGTGGGCGAGGGGATGAGGCCCCGCGGGATGGCCTCAGCCTCCCGCCACCTTGTCCGCGATTTGCCGTCTGATCTCCGTGGACTTCAGTTCCCAAACACTACGGGGGACAGGGTCTTGAAAAATCAAGATCAGCCTGTCACGAAAGTGTGTTCAAGTGTGCAGAGCATGGGCCGGGGTGTGCAGCACATCGTGCACCTCGCTGGTGAAAACGAAGAGAAAATATGGTTCTTGTCCCCAGAGTTTTTAATCTAATTATGATGATAATCTGATTCCCACTGGACCACAAATCTCTTGAGATGTGCACAGAAATTTTCATCTTTGTAATTCTGCGCGATGCCTAGCCCGGTGTAGTGGCCCCAGCAAATGCTGAGCGAGTGATTAATTGAAGTAGCATGAAGAACATACTGGAAAACCAAAAGAGCATCCACAAAAGTCCAGTTGATATGGGGGAAACCACCTACTCCGAACACAGAGTAGGAAATCATCAGGGCCCAATGGGATTGGTTAAAATGGCGAAAGGTAATCTGTGGAAGCCAACTCTGCGACCTCTGAGTAACTGGGCGACCTTCGGCAAACCAAGTCCCCTTGCTGGACTTCGTTTTCCTCTTTATAGTTTTCTTTTTACATTTAAATACGTGATCCATTTTGAATTACTATTTGTACACAGTGTGAGATTTCGATCGAGGTTCTTTCTTATTGTTTTGCCTGTGGATGTCCTGTTGTTCCAGCACCGTGTGTTAAAGATGATCTGTCCTCCACTGAATTGACTTTTCTTTAAAATGAGGGATGGATCAGTTGTAGAGGATGTCTCCTCTCCCTTCTCACTCTGATGAGTCCATTCAAGCACTTCCATTAAGCCGTCCTCTGCATCATTTACGTGTTAATGTATGGAAGGCCACCTAGTTGCATTTTAGAGTCCAGCTGTTAGATATCATTCACTTGATAGAAAGGGTTTCTGTTCGTTTAAAAAATGGTTTTGAAAGAGTGGGAAGGATGGGTGGAGGCATTAGGAAGTTAACTGTTACACTGTCTTTGGGTATATGTTTTAAAACTTTGGTTTTTGCTTCACTGGGAGAGGCCACACACACACACACACAGTGGCGTACACACACACACACACACACACACACACACAGTGGCGTACACACACACACACACACACACACACACACACACACACACACAGTGGCGTAGGCCTTAATAAACTGAACAACAGCTGGTTACCCTTTATCTAAATCTTGGATTTGCACGTAAAAGGCTAAAATAATAAGTAATTGTGCCACCATTTTAAATAGGTTGAGCAATTTGAGATGTAGGTTAAGAGGTAAGCCCTGAGTGAGACTTAATCTGAGAAAACCTAGAAAACTTGCCTCTTTCTCGGTCCTTGTCACAGAACGGATATATCAAGCATAATAGCTTGATTTCCTGCGAAGTATCAGATGTTTGTGGATCCATACGCAAGTGAATACATAAGTCAAAGACATTTGAAAGTTAGAGTTTTGTTTTTAAAATGCACAGTATGAAACCTCTCCTAGGTTTTTAGGTAATGAGTCAGAACAAGGTGATATAAAAGATCAGGTATTCTCTGAGAATACCTGATCTGTAGAGTCATACCTCCCGGGGCTGTCAGCTTGTGAGCTTTCAAAATTAAGCCATTTGTACTTGAATAGGAGACCTCTACAAAACACCTGCTCAAAGGGAAAATGACAGTAGCAACAAAATAGAGGTTGAAAGGAACCTGGCTATCGAAAAAAAATTGAGATCTTTTTTGCCTTCCTGAAGCAAGCTCGTTTTAGAACACCAGAGACACTATTGTGTTTACAAATAAGCAAGCCCAACAATTAGGAAGGTGCTGGTAGCACATCATTTTAGATGGAATGAAAACAAAGCGGAATTTCATTTTGAGAATTCATTGTACCAAAACCCAAAATCTGTTTTATTCTCCATTCTGCCACTACGTGGTTGATTGACCTTGGGTAAATCAATAGACTTCTCTGGACCTTGATTTCCTCATTTAGAAAATGAGATGTTTGGACTAGATGATATTTAAAGTTCCTTCTACCTCTAAAATTCTGTAATTCTTTTCTAGACCCTTAATTTTTCCTTGTTCCTATAGTGTTCTCTATTGACTCAGCGAATATTTATTAAGCATCTACTTTGTTACGGTACTGTGGTGGTGATGAGGATTTAAGAATTAGCTAAACCAGACACAAAAGGTCACATATTATATGATTCTATTTATATGAAATGTCCAGAATAGGCAAATCATAGATATGAAAAGTAGATTAAGGATTACAGTGGGTCAGGGGGAGGAGAGAATGGGGAGTGATTGCTAATGCACATGGGGTAACAAAAATCTTCTGGAATTAGTAGTGACGGTTGCAAAACTTTGTGAACATACTAAAACCCACTGAATCATACCTTTTAAAAAAATTTAAGGAAATAAGGAATGAGCTAGACAGACACAACTTTGCTCTCATGTTAGCTCACAATAGAGTGGGGTGAATACTTAAATGTGACAATGATAAAGTATATGTTACAGTGGGCATGTAACCCTAGACTTGGTGGTGGTGGTGAATCAGGAAATAATTACTTGAGAAAATTATACTAAGCCATGTCTAGGAGATGAGTAGGAATTGGATCAGAGGAGGGGATTTCGGGTCAAAGGAGTATTGCAAAAGCCTGAAAGCTGGAAAGAATATTATCCTTTAAGGTAATTAAAGTAGATAAGAATAACTAATGCAGAAAAGTGTAAGGGAAAACAAGAGATGTGGCTAAGGAGGCCTGAACCCCAGACCTTGAAGCCATGATAAGGAGTCTGGGTTTTATTCTGAGGGAATTGAGGAGTCACTGCAGTATTTCAGTCTGGGAAGTTACATAATCAAGTTTATAATTTTAAAAGTAAACTCTGACTGCAGTACAAAGAACAGACTGGAGAAGGGTTCAGACCAGCGACAGGCAGACTGGTGGTTGTAGCAGTCCAGGCAAAAGATGAGGCTGATGTGATCTAAAGCAAAGATTACAATAATGGGAATAAAGTGAGGTGTGGACAAATTTAAGAAATATTAAATAGATTGGATGTGGGAATAAGGGAGAAAATGGTTTGAGTCACAGTTTTTAGGCTTGAGGTATTTGATGAGATCATTCACGGAGCTAGGGAACAGAAATAGTTTTTCAGGGAAAAGAACTCACATTTGGATTTGTTGGGACCGTCAAAGGGAAACTGGCTCATAGACAGAGGTATAGATCTGCATCTCCCCAGAGAGACCTGAGGTGTATACGCATGAGAATCATTAGATGAGAAATAGTAAGTGAAACAATGGGAATGTATTAATTTGAGCGGGAGTATGTTTAGAAGTAAAGAAGAAGAGCTCAAGAGTTTCAGAACCCTGAAAACACCAAAAGCTTAGAAATAGGCCAGGGAAAAAGTCTGAAGAAAGCAGTGAGAAGGAACAATAGGGAGGCTGGAAGAAAATCAGGAGTTCAAATACAATATATTACAACATTAAAAAAAATAGACATCCTTTGTTACATACAATAAAGTGTCAGACAGTATTCCAAGTGCCTTACAAATAATGACTCCTTTTATCCTCACAGCAGTCCACGAAAGTAGGTACTATTATCTTTATTTTATAGATGGGGAAACTGAGGTACACAACCTCAAGTTGTGAATGACATGGCAAATGAATTGCAGGCTGAGATTTGATCCTAGACAGGCTGGCTCCAGAAGAGTATATTATGTTACTTCTCCAGATAAATGCATGCTTGGATAAATACTGTAAGAGCCCTGAAAAGCTGGATTTATTGTCTCCATTTTACTGGAGCCCAGAGAGATTTAATTTGACCAAATCACACAGCTACTAAGTAGTTGTGCAGAAGTTGAACCCAGGTTCCTTAACTCCAAAGCCTCTTTCTACTACTTTATACTGCTGGTTATTTTTTCTCTGTGTATATATATATATATATATATATATGTAATATGTACATACATATGTGTTTATCAACTTTATTTAACTCTGCTTATTTTATAAATGTTAATTCCTCAGGTATTTACCAAATGCTAGTAGTGGCTACTTTTGAATTGTTTCTCAAAAGCAAGTGCCCTGGATGTCTCAGAGTTTTCAGTGTTGATATCAATTTAATCCAGGTTATCCATACATTTAAAAGTATGAATGTAGTAATGCCTTGTGTTCTAATTGGCTGATGCTATTTTCAGGACTTGATTCTCTAGAAATGCCATCAGAATGTCTTATGATCATAGAGAAATTTTAAAATATCAGTACTTAAAAATCATTATTCCTCTTATTATCTCTAAGACTAATAATTAACCCGGTAGGGGTTGGTTTACTGTGGTTTAATGGGCAGGAACTAGAACTTAAACTCCTGTAGTTACTTTTCCCATTTTATTTCTTGAAGTAAGGGAGGCAGTTGATGTATTGAGTTAGCTTTGAAGGTTATACTCAGAAGTGAAGGTTATATTCTGAAGTCAACAAAAGATACCATGTAATCTTTAAGGACCAAAGGGACTATTTGGCGATTTTCTGTCTTTTATAAGATGTTGTAAAACAGTGTCCCCTAGCGCTGCTCTGAAGAAGTAATGTGAGAGAAATTAAGTATTACTTGTTTATAATCACTGTCACCACCTTGTGGCAGTGTCCTCAAATAATTCTGCCCTCTTGGAAAATCTTCCAGAATCTTGATTAATCTGTACACAAAAACAAGTCACAGGCTATCCTGGGTGGGAGTGGGGGTGGGGGGTCTATAATGGAATGTCTTTAAATAGGTTATTTTCCAAATATTTTGGTCACAACTCCATAAAACCTTGAAAAGAAGCCCCAATTTAAATTAAGACCTTTGAAAAGGAAAGGGGAAGTTTACTTCTTTTTTGTATGTTAGTGAAGCACTAGAAGTGAAAACTAGATGTATTTTAAACATTAACATTTTTTATTATGGTAAAGTATACGAAAAAATTCACCACCCCGTGTGTATGATTCAGTGGCACCAAGCACATTCATAGTGCTGTGTAACCATCACACTGTCCATTCTAGAAATTTTTGATCATCCTGAACAGAAACTCTGTACCCATTAAAACTCCCCGTTCCTTCTACCCTCCAGCTCTTGGTAACCTTTATTCTGCTTTCTGTCTCTATGAATTTGAATGTTTTATTGTTTTCAATGTTCATCTGTGTTATAGCATGTATCAGAATTTAATTCCTTTTATGGCTGAATAACATTCCATTGTATATACCACAATTTAAGAAATCCATTCAACTGTCGATGGACATTTGGGTTGTTTCCACTTTCTGGCTAAGCCATAAATAACACCGCTATGAGCATTGGTGTACAAGTATCTGTTTGAATCCCTGCTTTCAATTATTTTGGGTATATACCTAGAGGTGGAATTGCTGGATAATATGGTAATTCTGTTTAACTTATTGATGAACTGCCATACTGTTTTCCACAGCAGCTGCACCATTTTACATTCCCACTAGCAGTGCCCAAGGGTTCCAGTTTCTCCACATCTTGACAAACAAATGGTATTTCCTTTTTTTTTTTGAATACTCATCCTAATGGGTGTTAAGTGTTACAGTAACTTTTGGGTTGACTCTGAAAGCCAGTTACTCATAAGTTAATTCAAGGAATGTTTTCGAGCCCCTATATATATATACAGATAATGTTACACTTTGAAAGAGTAACAGGTATGAATAAAATACATTATTGAATCTTTAGGTGACTTACACTTTATTTTTCACCTCTAAAATTATTTCAGAACAGGTAAATCAACTTAAATTTTCATCAGGTGGTTGGAAAAACTAATCCAAAGACCTTATGCCCAACTTATAGAAAATTGGTAAGAGGTAAAAATATGTATTAAGCTAATGTTTCAAAGAATACAGTCAAATCCTAATTATATAGTTCTTTGAAAATGCATAATAAGGTTTAGGTTGGGCAAGGTCTCTAATTTTTTTTTTTTACAGGTTAGACTTTTTAAGAGAATCCTGTACGTTACTACAATGGCAACTGCTCAGCTCTCCCACTCTATCAAAATTCGCAAGGCATCTAAGGTATTAAGAATTAAAATAAAATCGATGACTATTTAGTGAGTTAGTTCAGAATCTTGACTTTAATCTTCAGTGTTTTTTTAAACAGTTTTATCAGTTAATTGGTACAGAATACTCTGGCAGAGTATGTCTATATTTTAACTGCCTAATGGACTGAGGATGATCAGGAAATTAGACTAGAGCCTACAAAGTAATTTACTGGGTGCCTGTTTCATGTTTACATATTTAGATTTTCTAGAGTAAAAGAAATCAAGAAGAAAAAAGACGTTTAAAGAGAATGGTTTTTTGTTAGACATTCACTTCCTGAAGTAATTAGGAAAATTCGTTGCTCACTGTAATGTGATTATAAGAACTGAGGGAGAGAGCACTGAGAGAAACTTGGCTACTGGGTCCCTGCAGGAGCATGCTGGGGCCAGGCAACCTTCCTGGGCTCACCTGGGCAAGTTGTATCTTGTCCCATGACATCCATTAGTGAATCAGCCATTTATTCAATGAGAGCCCGGCTCATACAATAGTATTTATTTATATATTATATAATATACATGTAATACTGTATCACTCTCTTGGAGAATTAAAAAAAAAAAAAGAATCTTCATTTTCCAGAAATTTGTAATCTGGTTAGGGAAATAAGATTTTACAGGAGTTAAGTCAATAAAGCAGAATATGCCTTATATTACATATGTGTGAGAAAGAGTAAAGCAATACAAATCATAGGAGTTTAGAGATTTTGTGTAGTCTGGAATGGTTTGTATATTCCTCATTAATGAGATGTGATTTAAGGTGGACCTTGAATAATGAAAAGGATTTGGATAGAAGGGAGAGAATTCCATCAGGAAAACCTAGGATATGCTTTGTCTCAGAATCAAATAAGCATGGCGTGTTTTAGAGAACAGTGGAGAACCCATCCTTGCTGGAGTGGAGTTCCACGATGGACAGAAGTAGAGAATACTATTAAATAGGAACTTTGGGGACAAATTAAGGATCTTAAAAGTGAGGCTAAGGAATTTATACTCAATTCTGCGATCAATGGAAAGTCAGTGGGTTTGATCATGACAGTGAATAGTAAAATTGTTTTAGAAATATTAAGCTGTAGAAATAGGAAAGATTAAGATTGCAGGAGAATTAAGGCAGAGCGAAAGTAATCATCTTTCTGGCTCAAATTCAATATACTCATCAAATAGCCTCCTGATCTCATTTGGTTTCTTAAGTGTGCTTCCTTCCTGGGGGGAAATGCTGAGCTGCGTATATGAATTGCCGTAAGCCTGGTAGTTATTCTTCTCACTGTAAATTAATAAGTTGACTTTTGACATAAACAGATCTTTGTCATTTGGACTGCATGAACTACTTCTTGTACATTTTAAGTGACTGCATTATTTTGCTATTTAATACTTAAAACAACAATAATAATAATTATAGAAGCTAACATTCATTCAGACTTACCATGTACTGGGCACTGTGCCAAGGCTTTATATTATTATTTCATTTAAATTTCACATTAAAGAGGAACTGAAGCTCAAAGAAGTGAAGTAACTTGCCTTAGGTCACATAGCTTGACAGCTAAGCCATCAAACATCACTTAAGTCATTAGCACATTATCTTAATAAATAATTTATAATAGTGTTTTTCTAGGATCAAACTACAGTATATTCATGTATTATACATTTTTAAAAACATTAAGGATGACCCTTAAGTATTAGATTAGCTGAGCTGAGAAAAAAATTCCCTGGAGAATAGGGAAGTAGCAGAATTCTGGAGGCCCTTTCCAAACATTGATTTTCATTACTACAAATGGCCTTTTAGATTCTATATTTAAAGTCGATGTCTTTATACTTTCAGGTTATTTAATTTTACTAATGGTTATGACTCAAGTATTGCCTCTAAGTTTTGGCCTGTTTTTGATAAGTTACTATATATGTATGCCATGCCAGCTATTACCCAATTGCCCAAAAGAACCTTAATTTCTCAGGATTTATGGGTACAAAAAGCAATTTTCTGTAAGATTTTACACATTCACACCACATACACACCTAGTTCTCCTTCAACTTCAATCCTACTTCTGCTATAGCTTATTCTTCCTGAAACAATTATTTTACTTACTTTCCTGCCCAAACCCACTGACTTTCCATTGATTACAGAATAGAGCAAAATTCCTTAGCCTGGCTTTTGATCCATAATAATCTGGCACTAAAGTTGCTATCATACATGCAAGAGTAGTAATTTATTATATTCCTTTTTAAATAACTGAATATATATGGTTTGATAATTCATTGCCACCATATGGTGTACCAAAGAAGCAAGATTATATAGCAACATCATGTTTAGAATCATGTCCAAAAGACATTCTAGAACTAGATCTAGATACAGAAAGCTTCTGGGGACTTCTTTTTCATCTCAAGGTATTTGTAGTAGTATCTGCCTTTAAGTAAAAGAATAATTAAAACTTCAACAGTCAAAACTGTATAAAATAGTAAAATTTGAATAGGAGATAATTTGAATTTGAGTGAGATAGAGACTTGCCAACCTAACTTCTAATAGCATAGATTAGTTTCACCTGTTTTTGTACTTTATAAAATGAAATCATACAATAGTATTTATTTATATCTGGTTTTTTTGCTAAACTTTATGTATCATCTGTAATGTCATGTCATAGAGCCATCTATAGTGTTAAGTGTATTCATTTTCATCACTATATAGTATACCATTGTGGAATATACCACAATTTGTTTATCCATTCTCTTGATGGGCATTTGGGTAGTTTCCAGTTTGGGGCTACTACAAATAAAGTTTTATGAACATTCTTCTTGTGCACATATATATGCATATCTGTCAGGTGTATCCTTAGGAGTGGAATGTGGGTCATAGGATATGCTTAGCTTTAGTAGATACCACCAAGAAATTTTCCAAAGAGGCTATCCCCGTTTACACTCCTACAACCAGCTTTAAAAGTTTTGATTGATCTGCATCCTTGTCAACATTTGATATTTTCTGATTTTTAAAAATTTTAGCCATTTTTGTGGGTGTGTAGTATCATCTCATTAAGATGTTAATGTGCATTCCATGATGGAAGTTCAAACACCTTTTCATTGTGTATTGTCCATTTGGATATCCTCTCTTGTGAAGGTCTGTTCATGTCTTTTGCCCATTTTTCTTTTTGGTTGTCTGTCTTTTTCTTAGTGAATTTTAGGAGTTCTTTACACATTCTGGATATGAGTCCTTAGTTGGACATATTTCTTGAGAATATATTTTCCCACTCTTGAGTTGCCTCTTTGAACAGAAGTTCTTAAGTTTAAAATAGTCTAATTCATCAATACTTGGAAAATACTTTAAAATTATAATGTATTGAGGCAACACCAGCTGGAGTTCATGAGACATTTGTGCTAAGATTAAAGAAGACAGCAAAAAGCAGTCTCATAGACTAATTGTAACAAAAATGATCAAATTTTTATTTTTATGTTAATATATGTACACAATAAAATATGACAAACTTTCATTGAAATCATAACTCAAGATACAAAACAATCAGCAAATGTTCTGTATGTAAGATGACAGTAGAAACTTCTAAGATTCATGCATCTGTCGGCATTGCTAATATGGCATTGCTAATGTGGCACACCATTTCTTATGGTAGACTAATCATTTAACAACTTATGTAAGTCATTTACTATGTCATATATATACATATACACATACACACATATATAAACTTTAGAAGGAATCTTAGCATCGATACTTTTTGTAGAACCTTAGTATTCTGTAGAACTCTAGCTTAAGCAAACCACAAAGATGTGGAAATACATGGTAGAAGAATAGTAGATAAATAATTCCTTGTGGCTAGATTAGGGTGCAATAGGAGAGGATAAGGGAGTGGGGGAGAGAGGAGAAGGGGGGAAAGGAGGCAGGAGAGCTAAACAAGAATAAGATTTTGACAGTTTTCAAATGCCACACTAAGGTACTTGAACTCTATCCTGTATGAAGTGTAGCGTCATGATATGATTTGTATTGTTTGAAGTTAATAATGATGGCAATATGAAGGACAGATTGAGTGGTAGGAACTATTGACAGAGCACTCAGGATACTGCAATAATAAAAGGTATAAGGATTATGTCCTGAGCAATGGCAGTGAGAAGGGAAAGGAGAAAACGGTTTTGAGAACTCTTTTAGAGAAAATTAATAGGATTTAGTGATTGGATATGGATTACGAAGGAGAGAGAGAAGCCAAAGATGATTCTGTTTCTATCCTGTATGATTGGAGTGGATGCTGATTCATTTGTCTGAGAACTGGAATCAGGTATCAGGGTGATAGAGATAAACTGAGTTTGAAGGATCTACAAAGTGGTCTAGGTACAAATGTGCAGAAAACAGACATATGGTAGTATGGCTCAGAACAGAAATAAGGACTTAAAGTCTTCTGTGTATAGGCTGTAACTGAAGCAGTGAGACTAGAAGAGATTACCCAAGGAGAGAGAGCTATGGAAGGAGGAAAGGACTGCAGACAGAATGCTGGGATAGGAGCAATTTTTAAGGGACGGAAAAAGTGGAAAAAACAGAAGAGCTCAAGACAGATACGGAGAGATAGATGAAAAACTAAAAGAAAACAGTGCTATGGCAGATGGAGAAGAGGGAGAATGTGAGGTGTACAAGGATGTGACACAAGAACAAGAGATCAGCGACAGGGTGTACTTGATGACTGGAGAGAACAGCGTAGAATGGAGAGGGTAAAAGAGACTGCAGTGGGTTCTGAGGAGTGTGTGAAAGGGAAGGAAGTATGTGATAGTAAAACTCCAGTTTTGCCTCAAATCCGTGGATCATTGTGAAATAAATTATGTTAGCCTTGAATTACTTAGATAACTGTCTCTGCCTTTCTGCTCTGCCTCATCTGTGGATATCTAATTTAATGTAATTTTCAAAGCCCTGTTTCCATTTGATTACCTGTAAAGGTATCAGATTTGTAGTCTTGAGAAATCTTTCCATCATATCCGTGATCATGATGTGATGGGCTGAATATATTAAAGGATACTAATATTTTTCATCTTTGGTATTTTTCCCCCAGGAAACAATTTTCCCATCACAAGTCACTAATGAGCATGAGTCAATGATAATGGTGAAGAAACTTTTCGCTACTTCTGTCTCATGCATAACATACCTAAGGGGATTGTTTCCAGAGAGCTCTTACAGAGAACACCATTTGGATGGTAAAATTTAACTAAATGGTTACTTTGGTTGTTGTAGCCCATTTCTCTGTTTGGCAGGAGTAAACTTTTAATTTCTCACAGAGTATGCTAATTCCTAGTCATGGGCCTGTTCTTTAAGATCAATTGCTAATTCATTTTCCATTTTAATTTCACTAAATGTAGTGGCTTTACTTATAGAAACCATTAGTGTCCTGGCTAGATACCAAATGACAGGCTGAGGGGAACAGGAATCTGTATGGACAAGCCCAGTAATTCCAAACTGCACCTATAAAAGCAGCAATCGGATTAAAATCTCTTTGGGTCATGTAGCTTTGCACCCTTTTGTGCCTTAGTTGAATTTGTTCTTTGAGGTATACTTTGGCCTTGAGGAAGTTTAACAGAGCCAGGTAAAAAAAACTACTTTCCGTTAACACATATAAATATGCTGGGGAAGAAAAAGCATACTCAGGCCAAACCTGTTTGTTGATTAGCATGGATATTTAGATAATTATTCTAAACAGCTCTTTTCTTTTTTTTTTTTAATGCCTTTAAATTTATGACCTTGTTTCCTTATATTATAAGCTGTTTCTTTCTCCTTGTCTGGTATTAAAAAAAACAAAGTACCTAGGATTCCCCAATTTCTCAAAATTATATTACTTTTTTAAAAGTTGAATTGTGAAAACAATTCAGAAAATCTTACTGATTTTTCATTAGAATTGGAACTCTCCGTTTGGAAAATAAATACAGAGAGCTACAAGTTTCCTTGTAAGATGTTATTTTCAAAGTCTAACTTTAAATTTCTCACATCTGTATTTACTGATATACCTTGGCCTCATTCCAATTTAATTTTCTTAAACATTTGGTTCTCTACATGAGCATCAATGATATGCATGTGTGCTATAAACACAAAAACATGATATTTGAAATCTGACAATCTTATTTGTATTATATTCTCTTTTGGTCTATAGGATATAAATTTGTAATAGTTAATATCTTTGTATGTAGCACATAGTTGCACTTTCTCCCCTTATTTGGAATTTGGAATTGAAAAAGGACATGTTTAGAATAATTAATTAAGTGCTTATTATGTGCCAATCCCTACCCTAGGCATGGGGGGTGTTAAAAGACAAAATTCATCTGAGTAAATTTGAAGATCTAATTGGCTTTGTTCAACAATAAAAGGAAGACTCTAGGAATGACTTGTGAAAGATCAGTTGCTAATTTGCAAGCTTTTCTGGTCTATGAGGGGAACATACTGAAGATCAAGGATGTCAGATATCCTCAGGGTTTTGCCATTTTGCTTCCTGCATTCAATTTTGGGCTTTACTGGGTCCGACCAACTTCTACACGGCTGACAAAGATCTAGCAGCAGGCCCCAATAATGACTCTAAATTCCTCAAAAAACTTGTAGGAATCCTTCATAGGTTTAGGAAATTCTTTAACTGTGGTCCTAAGTATGGCCTTTGACCAATGAGGGGGATTGCTGTAACCTCAGGCAGTTTTATTTTAAAAGATAACTATCAACAGTCTCTTCAGAGTGGAAAGGCACTTCAGACAAAGAATAAAGCATGAGTACTCAGATAAAGGAGAGAGGGGAACAGTAGGAGCACATAAGTTCTACCATTTTTTGTTTTAGGTACCTACGTGTCTTTAACTTTTCATTAGTCTTTTGCACTGAGTTTTTAAATAAAGCTATTTTGGAATCTTGAAGCATTTGGAAGCTTTTGCATGTCAATTAAAATAGGCATCCAGTTCCATTTGTTTAATTCAGGAATCCTTACTTTCAAGTGTACTTCTTACATAAATGATCTTGTCCAGTTGGAATGTTCCCTGTAATGGCCATTGTAATTCTAGGTTGTTTTTAGTAAGATTTTGCCATTTTTGTTGATATCTACAGATTCTGGAACTAGTTTTTAGACATAAAATAAAGAGGTATGTGAGAAGGTGGAGGCACTTAACTCTTTAAAAAATTCCACTTCTGATCACGGGAAGATAGCGGCATGAGTAGCTCAGTGGAAATCTCCTCCCAAAACATATACATTTATGAAAATACAATAAATACAACTATTCCTAAAAGAGACACCAGTGGATACAGTACAACAGCCAGGATACATCTACATCTGTGAGAACTCAACATCACACAAAGGGGGTAAGATACAAACCACGGCCAGGCGGGACCTGAACACTCACCCACCCAGAACCTGGTGGGAAGAAAGGAATCAGAACGGGGAGGGAGTCAAAGCCCAGGACTGCTAAATAACCAGCTCTAGAAATTCGCACCCGGAGTGCAGACACAAGGCGCATGAGGTGCTGAATATTAGAGAAATGGAAAAGCAAAACCTGCAGGCAGGTCCCCGCAACTGGTGCCCCTGAGACAAAAGAAAAGCGAGTGCTTTCTGCAAGTCTTAAAGAGACAGGGACCTCACAGCTGGATGAAGTCGTCCCAGCACACTTAGCCAGCAGCTGGGAATCCTGGGGAACTTTAGGTGCCCTAACCCCCTGGGTGGCAGTGCAGCTCTGAAGCCCCTCATGGCACTAAGCAGCCTGCCAGTTGTTCCCCCAGCTGGCGCGGACCCAGACACACTGGCCCAGTAGTGGGAGAGTGGCAGCACACGCTGGGGGGCGGCGGCACCGGAGGGGACTGGAAGTGGCCTGCATGCACCAGCAGTGCCAGAGGGGACCAGGAGTGGCTTGTGTGAGCCCGTCGTAGTGGCGACTAAGCAGCCCAGGAGCGGTCCATGCATGCTGGCGGCTCTGGCGCCAGAGGAGCCCAGGAGAGGTCTGCGCGAGCCCGCAGTGGCAGCGACCAAGTGGCCGGGGAGTGGCCCGTGCGTGCCAGCGGTGGCAGCACCAGGGGGGCACGGGAGAGGCCTGTGTGCACCTCCAGCAGTGCCAGAGGGAGCAGCCACGCTCCCAGCAGCTGACCGGAATCCCAGCCCAACGCACAGCCGCCTGGGCCAGACCCAAAGGCTGCTGCTGGCACACAGCTGCCTGGCAGGGGCACTGCTATCATGGAGAAGTGCACCTGGATTGCCTGCCACTCCCCACAGGGCTCTGCACTGCTCTGATGGAGACCCTGCCCACAGCAGCTTAGGTGATTAATCCGGTGGCTGCTCCAGGAGTGTGGGTAACTGACACAGGCAGCGGAGAAGGGCAAGGCATCCAGCAAGCAGAAAAGGACTTTCTTCTCCCAGCTGACACACCCACAACCTGCCTACAGCCACTGCTATCACCATGAAAAGGCAAAAAAATTTAGTCCAGTCCAAAATAGTTCAGACAACCCCTGAGAGAGGATCTGCAGAGACAGACCTAACCAATCTCCCTGAAAAAGAATTCAAAATAAAAATCATAAACATGCTGACAGAGCTGCAGAGAAATATACGAGAGCTAAGGGATGATGTCCGGAGGGAGATTACAGAAATGAAACAGTCTCTGGAAGGATTTATAAGCAGAATGGATAAGATGCAAGAGGTCATTGATGAAATAGAAACCAGAGAACAGGAACGCATAGAAGCTGATGTAGAGAGAGATAAAAGGATCTCCAGGAATGAAGCAATATTAAGAGAACTGTGTGACCAATCCAAAAGGAACAATATCCACATTATAGGGGTACCAGAAGAAGAAGAGAGAGAAAAAGGGATAGAAAGTGTCTTTGAAGAAATAATTGCCGAGAACTTCCCCAAACTGGGGGAGGAAATAGTTGCTCAGACTACAGAAGCACACAGAACTCCCAACAGAAGGGAACCAAAGAGGACAACACCAAGACACATAATAATTAAAATGGCAAAGATCAAGGACAGAGTATTAAAGGCAGCCAGAGAGAGAAAAAAAGGTCACCTACAAAGGAAAACCCATCAGGCTATCATCAGACTTCTCAACAGAAACCTTACAGGTCAGAGAAGAATGGCATGATATATTTAATGCAATGAAACACGGGTCTTGAACCAAGGATACTGTATCTAGCACCATTATCATTTAAATATGAAGGAGGGATTAAATAGTTCCCAGACGAGCAAAAGTTGAGGGAATTTGCCCCCCACAAACTACCTCTACAGGATATTTTAGAGGGACTGCTCTAGATGGGAGCACTCCTAAAAAGAGCACAGAAAAAAACACGCAACATATGAGGAATGGAGGAGGAGGAATAAGAAGGGAGAGAAATAATCATCAGACTGTGTTTATAATAGCTCAGTAAGCGAGTTAAGTTAGACAGTAAGGTAGTAAAGAAGATAACCTTAAACCTTTGGTAACCATGAATCTAAAGCCTGCAATGGTAATAAGTACATATCTTTCAATAATTACCCTAAATGTAAATGGACTGAATGCACCAATCAAAAGAGACAGAGTAATAGAATGGATAAAAAAGCAAGGCCCATCTATATGCTGCTTACAAGAGACTCATTCAAACCCAAACACGTGCACAGACTAAAAGGCAAGGTATGGAAAAAGATATTTCATGCAAACAACAGGGAGAAAAAAGCAGGTGTTCGCAGTACTAGTATCAGACAAAATAGACTTCAAAACAAAGAAAGTAACAAGAGATAAAGAATGATATAATGATAAAGGGGTCAGTCCAACAAGAGGATATAACCACTATAAATATATATACACCCAATACAGGAGCACCAGCATACTTGAAACAAATACTAACAGAATTAAAGGAGGAAATAGAATGCAATGCATTCATTTTGGGAGATTTCAACGCACCACTCACTCCAAAGGACAGATCCACCAGACAGAAAATAAGTAAGGACACAGAGGCACTGAACAACACACTAGAACAGATGGACCTAATAGACATCTATAGAACTCCACATCCAAAAGCAACAGGATACACATTCTTCTCAAGTGTACATGGAACACTCTCCAGAATAGACCACATACTAGGCCACAAAAAGAGCCTCAGTAAATTCCACAAGATTGAAATCCTACCAACCAACTTTTCAGACCACAAAGGTATAAAACTAGAAATAAATTGTACAAAGAAAGCAAAAAGGCTCACAAACACATGGAGGCTTAAC